GCCGAGCCGGCCCAAGGCACCCGCTCCGCTGAGCCCCGGCCGGCAGGAACCTCCCCCGCCCCCAGCCCGCCCTGGCGGGAACCAAGCCCCGCCCACTGAGGGCCGCGGCGGCCTTTGGAGCAAGCCCCACCCACCCGCATACGGGATTGGTAGAGGTCCGTGTCGCTCATATCGCACCCCGTCTCCCGCCGCGAGTGCTCGAGTGCTGTCGAAGCACCACCTCCTTAGGAATTGCTCTCCCAGGACGCCTAATGATTAGTTGCTAGGACTGCTAATCACAAGTTCTCTTAAGTTTGATTGGATGAAACTCAAGAGGGGTGGGTCTTTTGCGCCGGTAGCATTTACCCTGCGTGAGGTTGAAAGCGGCTGAGGAGCGGGGAGAGCTGTCAGTCCCCTCGGTGGGGCCGCTCAGGCCTGCAGGCTGTCACCGCTATGCGGTTCCGCAGGAAGGTCAGGAGCCCGGCGGTGCTGAGCCACGAGTTCGTCATTCAGAACCATGCGGATACCGCCTACTCCCTGGTGATGAGCCTCCTGATGGGGGTCGTGATTAAGGTACTGAGCGGGCTGAGGGGGCTGGTGGTTGCTGGGCTGCACCTCGTCCTGCTGTGGGGCAGCTGCGGTCGTCCTTGGCTTCCTGCTCTGGAACATCCCTCCTGTGCCATTCAACTTCACTACCAAGCAGCTCTGCCCCACCCTCTCCGGTTCCATCTGCCTCTTCCCTCTGTGCAACGTTACATATCTGTACCCCGCGGCCTAGCTCCGTGACGCTCTGCCCGCGCACCCTCCTCACGGCAGGGTTCTTCCTGCCCTGGCTCGGCTCACATACTGCCCAGTGCCTTATCTGCTGGGTTGTCAGCTCCCGCTCTCACTGTGCAACCCCTTCTCATCCTCTTCTCTCGGGTTGCTGCTCTTCTCTTGTCCGGTTTTCCTTCATCTCTGCGTATGGTTCGTTCCACCACCCTCCCACAAGCTGCCTTTTACTCCGTGACAGTCTCCTGGGGCACAACGCCCCCCTCAAGTCCTCTTAAAGCACAGTCAGTTTATGTCTCTTTGGGTCTGTTTACTTTTTCCACCCTCTGCTCACAAGTCCACGTGGTAAAGCAGCTGGGAATGCTGCTATGAAGGGGGTTTCAGGCAGTCTGTGTTGTTTCGGGCATGCACAGGATCACTAAGGTTGGGCCTTGCGTGACCCGCTGGCAGTTTAAAAACTGATAGTCACCCTTTTGCACCACGGCTCAGTCCATTGTTGTCATTGGCTCGGATCCCTAGCCATGGATAACCTCAAGAAACATGTGGGATTAAGCAGTTCCAGACTAACTTCTGAATTCCTCTTGTCCTTTCTCTTTGAAAGTTATCTATGTGCAAGCTGCTTATTAGTTCCTGGGGTGATGGATTAGGCATCTCTCTTGGGCATCTTTTTCCCACTTTTGGGACAAAACCCTTGTGTTGTGTGTGTTACTGCATGGATGTTTTATGTTGGTGTGAGTATGGGACAAAGCTTGGTAAATAGAGTTTAAATTCTGGATATTCCTGCTTAAATACTTTCCTGAAATATTTGAAAATTTCCTATCAATTTGATAAGATCAAAAATTGGATCATTTTAAATTGAAAGTACTATTAAATTCTGAGATAAAGTGCATTTAGACTGAAAACATTAAGGATACTGGACAGAAATAAGATGGAGAAAGCAGTTGTGATGGTCAGATGGTCCTCAATGGTGAACGAATGCAGTGTTGAGGTATGATAAGTTGTGTCATCTCTGGAGGAGTATGTCATAAAAGTTAATATATTAAATGCAAAACTCAATCTTGGGATTAAAAAAATTAGCTAGGAGCTTGACACTCAGGCTTTAGCAAGTAAATATCTGCACCTGGGATAAAGTAAACCCAGTTTGGATCCCAAGTGGAACTTTTAATGTAACTCTATATATAGTACTTTTAAAAAGATACTGCTCTGTGACTTTTTGCTGTTAAAAACAAGTACGTTTTCTGCAGTTCCATCTCTGAATTCCATTTGTCTTAACGCAGGCTTTGTATATGCCATGGGATGTGTAACTCTATAGGTATTGGATGGGACTGTGCAGCTCCCCTGGGGTAAGCGTTATTATTTTGGTGAAGGCGGTTTCTTTTAGAGGAAAAAGAGTTAGTTAATATCTGTTACACCCAAGGATAACTAGCAAATTACCTAATTTCTAGTCAGCGTAATTCTAAAAGTTCAGATGCAGGTTAGAGACTAGTGTAGCTTGGGATATGCTTTTATTGTGCTTGTTTGAATACATACCATGGTAATTATTGCATAATTTAAACATTTGCATCTCCGTTTTGATACAAAAATTACAATTTTGATTGAGAAGCCTTTCACTTATTATGCAGAGGAGCAGTGGTGCTGTGGAGCAGGCTAGACCTCTGTATTGCACCTCTGCCTCATTCACTGCAGAAAAGCACACTGGAGTTTTTTGAATGAAATCCGTATTTCTGTTGTTCACTGTTTAAGTCTTATACCATCTTTATAATGTGTAATCTAGTCTGCCAGACAATCAAAACTACAGGTGTTTTTCTGGTAAGTTGTGGTTCTATATTGAGTGCTTAGTAAGTGTTACTGAACTTGCCTACACGTAGCTGCTATGTCTATTTTCTGTTTGGTCTTGTTTTTCTCTCTGTATTAAAGTGAAATTAGTTTTAGATTTGAAGCTTGAAACACTGAAGGGCAACTTTTTTCATCAGTGCTTTCACAGCATTTTATGTTTTCTGAGATTTCGGATGCATCTGTCAATGACAGATTGCCATGGTACCATAGGTTATACACTAATAAGCTAAACAATATGTAAACGAAACTTCTCACAGTTTACATGTTGAAACATTTGTTTGAGCTTACGTAGTATTATAGTAAACACACTGGTTTAATTTCTAAGTGGCATTCAATTGCCCTTATCCAAAACCCAGTAAGTATGTTAAAATTACAAATGAGCAGTAGAATGTCATATATTCAGTTACAAGAATTCTTTAAGGATAATTCTTACACATAAGGTGGTTTATCCACCATAATTTTACTTTCCTGTGCCTTAACTTTGCTGATTATTACGAGGTCTATAGATGTGTGTAGGGAGATTCACTCTGATTATAATATACAGAAAAGTGGCAGTTCAATTTTAGTGTTTTAACTGTTATTTTCTTTCTTCTTCCTTCTCCAAGAGTATTTATAGTCTTCTATCTGCCCAATCCTACTCCTTTTCTTGACAACAGAGTGGGACTTATATTCTATAGAAACCTTTCTTTTAGTATTTATACCTCTTTTTAGGCATCTAGTATCATCTCAGAGTTTCAAACAAATTCTTTCTTCCTAGAATTTACATCATCTTGGTATCTGGGGCTGTCTTGCCTCAGAATACCGCCTAATGGGGCTCTCATACTTCCAGCAGTGTGAAACGCTCGTAGTATTACGTTCTGTGCTTCATGGATGAACAGAAAAACTAACTTGCTAGGGTCTAGCAAAGTTTCTTACCACCCACTTCTCCCAAAAAGCATTAAAAAAGCTTATTTTCAGGAAATGTCCTGAAATCGTTTGGTGTGGTGGCTGTTTCTTGTGGGGGTTGGGTTTTTTTAATTAAAAAAATGTAGTTTCACCACTGGAGAGAAAGTTACATGAAAGTATATTGTTGGTTACTTGGGTTGTACGGTAGTTGTTAGAAAATGCTTGATTTCTCATACAAGAAATTGATGAATCTTCTATTTCTGCTATGATGTTTAGAATATTTATATGGACACTTGGCAGAGCATCTTGTTTTTAATATCTTGCAAAGTTCGGTGAAACTTTCCACTGGACTTAATTTAGAGAGGCTTGTAACTTTTGAAATAAATGAAGGCCACTGAGACTTCTAAACACTTTAAAAATGTTATTTAGTAGAACGATGAGTAATTTGATCCTTATGTCTTTAAAGGACATAATTCAAGTCCTGAACCTCCACAGCAAATGTTAAAGGATTTGCGGCAAGGTGAGCCTCCACATTTGTGGGAGACAAATAACCCTTTTGGGACTTCTTCGATTTAAATCATGTGGGGGACAACATTCGTTGATGGCATAATCTTCTAGTTTTGGGTGTTTATAGTCTAGCTTGTTTGAAAAATCTGATAGTTTTTCCTTGTTTCTTTTTGAATTTCAGGGCCCAGACAAATATGCCATCATGTTCGTTGCTGTGCAGTACAACGTCACCTATACTACTGGTGAGACTCAATCAAATCTATTTTTTTCTTGTAATGCAAGACCTCAACTATTAAAGATTACTCTTTTTTTTTCCCCCCCTAAGGCTTCACTTCACTTTTATAATAAAGTAGAACTCTCATATTTGCCTGTCTGGTTTTGGATTTACTAATACTATATTCACTGAAACATTCTAGTGCTTAGGAAGGAAGTTGCTTATCTGTATTTCTGCTGTTTTGCATCTGGACAACACGAACAGAGTTTGACGAAGGGTAGAATACTTAGAGATAGCAGAATTCCTTGATGTTTATGAAAAGTGGCAGCTGTATAGCTAAGAGAGATCCAAATTAATGCCCTCTCTTAGGTGAAAGCAGGAGACTGTAAATGTTAGACATGCGAGCCTGTAATTCAGGATGAGCATGGCTCTTGATTAGTTGTAGTACAAGGTCTTTCTTCTCCATTGCAATCTCAGATGCATTAAAAAGTGAGACGGTTGTAATGGGTGTTTGTGGGACACAGGAGAGACATCCCTGCAAAATAAGACTTCCTTAGATCTATTGTTCCTGATACAGACCTTTTTAATTAAAGGTCATTTGTTAAGTTCTCCCAGACTGAAATACAGTAAATTCAAACATTTGAAGTATTTTTGTAAGAGTGTGAATGAATTTTTTTTTTTTTTCAATTTATATGTACATATTACTGATTCTGGGGAATTTGTTACTGACCAATATGTTGAACTGCTAGGGATACTATCCTCACTATATGTTTGTTTTCCTACACAGTCATGCTTCTTAAGATGGAATCTCATTTGGTCTCTGCCAAAGTATAGAGGATAGGGTGTTGCTGTGTTTGGTCCTTTTTTTTCCTCTTTCTTTTTTTCATGGCCTAGGTGAAAGAAATGTTTCTTTTTTTTTCTTCAATGCAACAATATAGTTATAAGCCTGTAACACATTATTGAGAGCATTATACACTGAGCTGTAGCTTCAAGTTACCTAATCAGGTATAAAAAGTAACTTACAAAAATGTAAGATTTATGTTAAATTGTTACAGGATACTACTTAATAGCTTTCAAGAACACTGGTCACCACTGCCCTTTCTCACTTGCACAGAGTATTCCTTCATAAAAATGTGAAAGTACACTTTTTTTTTTTTTTTTAGATGACAACAGTGAGCAATTTCATTTTTATGACTATGGTCCAAAAGACATTGCCACAGTCGTCTTCTACATGCTTGTGGCTATTAATCTGCATGCTGTAATCCAGGAGTACATATTAGATGTAAGTTTATTACTGGGCTATAATGTATTTTTATAAACACGTTATTTTTAACCACCTGTTACTAAGAGGTTTTTCTGCAGGGTAAGTGTAAACCCTGGTACAAGGGTTGGTTTAACATTTAGAAGCCCTGTTATGATTGATCCTTTTGTTCTTCGACAAAAATGCAGATAGACCTTGGTTCAGTGATGGGCTTGGTAGTGTTAGGTTAACGGTTGACCTCGATCTTAAGGGTCTTTTTGAACCAAAATGATCCTATGGTATTTTTATAGGAATATTTCCTCAGTTTATGAATGGTATAAACTACCGAATCTTTCTTTCAATCAATATAACTTCTGTTTTTCTGTAAAAACAGACATTAAATGTTCATGCCCTACTGAAAATACCTGTGACTGAGGTTTGCTGCATTAGATTCGTAACACCTATTGGGAAGATCAAAAATGAAAATTACTGCATGGTAGATTTCTGTTTGTCAGATGAGCTTTGCCTCAAAAAGGGAGCTCAAAATTCATTGTGTGCTCTTTCACACCAACTCAGTTGCAAAGTGAAATGAATTTGGTCAAGTCATTGTGAAGACCATCTCTTATTGAATGGTCTTAAAATGTCTTCACAAATAAGTCATCTGAGCGACAGAAGCTCAAATGGTTTTTAAGTGTGCAGAGACATGAAAATTTAATAATATAACTCTGATTGGGGGGGGTGGAAAATGTATGAATACGTTATCTGAATATCTTCCATGTGATTTTTACCATAGTGGCAAGTCTTAGTAAAGCCAATTGCCATACAAAGTGCTAATCAAGGTCTGAAATGGTGGGAGACATGTTTTGGTGGAGGAATGAGAGTTTTGGGAAGAAAAAATTGAGGCATGAACACTAACTCCCAAATAGCTTTCTTGTTTTAAAATTACATTTATTGATCTGCTTTTGTTTCTAGAAAATTAATAGATGTCTGCATTTGTCAAAACCAAAGCACAGCAAATTCAATGAATCGGGACAGCTAGTGTTTTTCTACTTGTTTTCATTTGTATGGGGAGCAAGTATTTTGAATACAGTAAGTCACTCTATTTGCTGGTTTTATTTCAAAAATAGACTTAAAATATTAAGAAGGGGCTTAAATCCAATGGCCTTTTTCTTTAGGAAGAATTTATGATGATTCCAACATCACTTTGGAGAGATTATCCCCATTCTCGTATGCTGTAAGTGTTCTATTACAATCAGAAGAAATCCTGTACTTCTAATCACTGAATCACTCCAAATTTTAGGGAACCACTAATAATGTAGTGACGTTGGTACTTCATAAGAATGACAACTACATGAAAATACTTTATTCTGTTTGGAAACTGTGACCTGTTTTATCTAGAGGTAGGTTTTGATGATTGAACATCTATCCATGAAGTATTTGATGTGTTCCTACCTTTCTTTAAATTAACCATGGCAGTTGAGTTAAAATGAAGGTGTTTGCAAGATGGGAAATACAATGGGACTGCTGAACTGTTTCACACTAAAGAAACATGTTTGTTGAGACTGAATTTTCAAATTAAAGGGGATTTATAGCTTGATTTCCCACCCCCACCCCCCCTTATAATTAATTTTGTTGTCTGGGCTCCTTCCCCTGTTTTTTCTCTGGCAATTGTGATGGAGGGAAGGAAGATAATAACGCATTTTTTTTTAGGAAGAGAGTTCAACTGCTCACAGGATAAACTGTTAATGTGTGTTAGGTTTTTTTGATGTGTTTTTCTTTCCTAGTGTTTCAAAAGGTGATTCAGAACTTGCTAAGAGAAGATTATGGATGCTAATTCAAAAAACTATCACCACAGAGTTGTTTTGTATTTGCAGTTCCTGTGATTTAGGAATCATGTGACTAGTTATAGTTTATAAATTAATTTAAGATAATGAAATAAAATCTTGGATCTCATGTTAAACTCCTCATCTTGTTTTCTTAAACTGAATTATTGTCTAGTTTTCAGGTAAAATTCTTCTATGTTTGCCAGATAGCGTATTGGTTTCACGCAGTGCTGGAGCTATACTTCCAAAAGATCCAAAAGGTATGGAGAGAAGTTGTCAGTACAGTTAATTAAATTTCTATTATTTCCAATTATTCATATTAATATTTTGCTTAACTATATAAATATCTGCGTATTTGTATATTCAGTTATTTACATACAATTTATATATTTTAATTGCTTTGCATTTCCTATCTAATTTAGTCCAGGTGGTCTGTAGTTTATGATTCAGGTAGTGTTTCCAGAAATCTTTACAGCAGTGTGACAAATAATCAAACCTTAATCAAACCTAACACATGATATGATTTTTCTTTGGACAATGTGGTTAAACTGTAACAGCATTTATTATAATTTCTCTAATTTTAGGAAGATATTCCAAGGCAGCTGTGTTATATTTGCCTTTACATTGCTCATATCTCTGGTGCCTATATCTTAAAGTAAGTATGTGTATGTCCATTTTGAATAGATAGATCTATTTTCTTCACAATTCATTAAAATTTCTAACTCTTCTGTTTTATAGCTTGCATCGGTTGGGGCTAATTCTGATGGTACCTCACTATTTAGTGGAACTCATTTTTCATGCCTCACGTCTTGTCTACCTCAGTGATGAAAACAATCAAAAAGGGTAAATCTTGCCTATATTAATTAAAATTCAGAACTTTGCTTACTAATTGCATATAAATTAATTTGCATGTATGTGAAACTACTCAGGTAGTAAACATCACTTGTTCAATGTCCACTATGACTTGCCTAGAAATCACAAGCAAGTCATTCTCATTACATAGTCAAGGAAACACATGTATCACTTCATGATCGTTATCGTAAGGTTTTGCTGAAGCTTTTGCTCAAGTCCCGTATCAAGTATTTATGTATTGACTTCCGACTCTGTGAGTTGCTAGTTTGCTTAAATGTTCATAAATGTTTGTGTAAAGGGATGCTTGTTTTTAAAAATATTTAACTGAAGAAGTAATAAAAGCAGTATTCCCAGGAAGTTCTTGCAGGTCTCTCCCCTTTTTGTAGGGTGAGAAGGGGAAGTATCTCTGCAACAGAGAAGGTAATGTCTCAAAACACATAGTTGGTATGGTATCTTCAATGACACATCTCTGGAGTAAGATTCTCAACTGGTTTTATACTAATGGGTATAAAAATAATGGAATTGAGATTGGAAGAAGATCAGGAACTGAGCTATTTAACCATTAGGCATGCTAGGAAGGTTTGGATACATTTCATCATTTGAATGTGAAGGCTTTTGGAGGTTCCAGTTAAAACAGCCTTGTCCCATTTATGTGTTCTTGTCTCTTATTCTTTCTTCCTTTTTGGAGTGACTGCCCTGGTGAAAGAGGTTATCATGAACTCCTTGCTTGCTTTCCTGCAATCCCTTACATATATGCAGCCTCCCTTGAGGCAGTGTAATACTGCTGCTCTTTCTGGTCTTTTCATAAGATTCATTTGTGATGCTCCTTAAAGCTAACATTTTAAATAGGTATGCTGAACATTCTTTGCAAAAAACCACAGGTTTACTGATGCAAATAGGGAAAGTGGGAGAAAGTTAGCTTATCTTTCACTTGTATGTTATATTTAACTGTGAGGGTGTTGGAACTGTGAGCTTATCTGCTTTTCATTATATGCCATCCAAAAGCATGAAGACTAAATATGCTGATTAGGAGAACATATTTTCCTGTCTTTTGAAGACTCTAACAGTCAGATAAGCAACTATGTCTTTTTTTGGCTGGAAAGCAGTTATACCATGTGTAATATTACACAGTTTAAGTAACTGGAAATTGATTTTCATAGCTGATCAATTGGAGAAGTATTTGGGGTGCAATTTCTGTTACAACATGTAGCACTTCTAATGTAAACTGTAGAAACAACACAATGTCAAATACTAGGTATATCTCCTAACTCAAAACTTACTGTTTCTTCTTATAGTTCTACATCAGACATTGTAGCTTTTCTCAAAATCTTTTTTTGGGGGAGGGTGTGAAGAGAGTTGCTTTTTAAGCAGTCTTGGGTATACTGTGAGAGAATTGAAATACGTTTTCTTTTAAGTTTGAAATCACTTAACAACTAGGGGTTTGTAATAGAAATTTTAGAAAGCTACATTTTTTTTCATACTGGTTGTAGCTCTTTTTAAATCTGTTCATCAGTCACACGATGTGAAGTCTCTTTCCCATAGAAATCTCTATGTAATGGCAGTAATAATACCAATTTTCTAAATTAATTATTGTCAGCTTAATAAAACTGTTCCTCAGGTGTTGTTTTGGGGATTTTTTTTTTTCCAGCTCCTATTGCAAAACATTCTAGATGCTGAAAATCTGCAGGATGGCATAACTTGGTTAGCTATAAAGCGAAATAATTGTCATTTGTTACTTACTAGCTATCCTGTCACCATCTCTTCTTGTCCTGCTTCTAACTGTTTAATGTCAGCATCCTGGCTTTAGAGCATCACCATTACTTGTAAATGGCTTACAGCATGAATGCCAGCTTGAGGTGCATCTTTTTATTTCATTGTGCTTTCCAGTGAAAAGGTTGTGTAATGAGGCAGGACTGAATGCTTGCAGATGACCAAGTTTTTCTGTAATTATTGATCCTTTCCTTAGACATTTCTATATCATTGCTGAGAGAATTTTAATGAAAAGTTCTCTGTACTTTTGACTTTATTGAGAAGAAATGCACTGAAAGGAGAAAGCACATTAATTTCATTATTTTGTTTTCAGATTTACCATCTGGGCGTTACTTTTCGTAATGGTGCGTCTTTTGACCCTAACTTTATCTGTTCTCACATTTGGATTTGGTCTGGCAAGAGTAGAGAATCCAGAGTTTTCCATAGCAGACGGAAACTTCAATGTACTTCCTGTGAGGTATAACAAGGCTAGTAGACATTCATGCGTGTATGAGGCGGCATTTCAAAATACCTTTTAATAAAACAGTCCAGGATGATAATGTGTTGGGAAGAATTTCCCCGAGTGAAGTTTTCATCTTGAGTGTTTAAAGGAAGGGAAATATTGTTCTTTTCACAGAAGTAGTAAAACAGAGTTTATTGGAAATAGGGACACCCCCCCCTTTTTTTTTTTTAATTGTTGATAATTATTCAAGAAGCCTGGGAAAATCATCTCTTTAAACCTGTAAACCTTTTTTTCTCCTTCCTATGTCTCTACCAGACATAGTATCTTTTGGTGATATTAATACCCATAATTTTTTAACTTACTATATGTTTGGTGTCTTCTTAAAATATTTTTTGTATCTATTTTATTCTTGCTTGTTAATTTTAAAATGTTTATTACTCTTCTAGCATAAGCTCATCACTAACATTGACCCTTTCAACTTCATGTCTGTAATGAAGGGTGTGGGAGGGATTTTGGATCTACATCATTCTCAGTCATGGATTGCTTGGCAGAGGGAGCATGAGTAACACAATTTTCTATCAGCTGTTGAAACTATGGTCATAACTCCTCGATAAACATGATTGCTTCTAGCAATATATTTACATACAATTTCCACTCACTTCTTGTGTAACACCTTGTCTTGGGTAAAGCCTTCTGATAGATCTGGTTTCTCATGGTAGAAGATTTTAGTTGTTTTGATAACAGACTTTTGGAGAAAAAAAAATAGGTACAGATTTGCAATCTATTAATGGTTAACTGAAATGTTCATCTAACTTTCTCCACAATCTTAAATCTTACTAGGATTGGCTGCCTGGGTGCTGTTTGTCTAACACAGGCCTGGATGATGTGGAAGTTCATAAAGTTTCAGCTAAAGAAATGGAGAGAGCATGTCAAGAACCAGATTCCAAGGAAAAAAATAAACAACACAAAGAATAAACGAACAAAAGGAACAAAACAAAGGTCAGTGTTGTCATACTTTTTTTAAAGTTGTTTCTAGGCCAAATGTTTTTATACCAGATGTATCATCATAAATCTTTCATTCCTGTAAAACAGCAAAAACGTGTTTCTTGACATGCAGAGAATACAGATAGTATTATAGCTTCTTCAGACGTTAGGATGTGTTCTTCTCTAATTCCATATTGCTAACAGGACAGCACACAGAATGCTGTCTGTATGAGCTGTGATCTTCAGGATTGACTGAATTCTGTGTTAATCTAAATGCAAGGAATATTTCATGAAACTGGGCTTAATGTTTCTAGGGTTTTCTTTCTGTTTTTAAATCAGTCTGTTACAATGCTACTATTTTTTAAATTATTTATTTAACATCAGGAATAAAGGTACCATACAGAGTCCCTCCTGAATTTAATAAATTCTGCTTCTATGCACTGTTTCAGAACATTAAAATTAAACACACATTGTTTCAGACCATTAAAGTTAAACACACATCATGTAAAGAACATCAAACCCATTGAAGAACACCTCCAAAGGAACATCGTAGTAACTGGCAAAGGACAGCTAACAGAGGAAGGCTTTTAATGAAATGATGCTGTATAATTTTCAAATTCCGATGTTATATCCATTAAATGAGTGAAATGGGAATTAGGAAGGTTTGGTAGAGTGAAATTTCATATTCTTGTTAGCGTGTACTGGGGAGGGTTATGTATGAAGGATTGGGAATCACTTCTGAGATTTGGGTAGAGCGTTGAATAATGCAGTTTCTTGGGAATTCTACTACAAGCTGTCTTTTGTTCTGAAATTGATCTTTAAGTACTAGTGTCTAGAAGAGGGGTTGATGCTCTTTGCATTCAGGTATTACTAGCTGAGTCAGCATTAGCTGAAACCAATTGGAAGACTCTAGACCAATAATGGTGCTCACAACATTGGTTATTTCTAAGCTACTTAAAGTAATGCATATTATGGAGGGAGGGAAGAGGAAACGTAGTTTATACAAACCTAACAATGAACTTCAAACTAGCATTTGTCTCATGGAAGATTTTTAAGTCAATGTTGAGTTTGGTGGGGTGTTTTTTTCCTGCAAACATCAGGTCAATTCCTTTTTGCAGTAAAAAACGCCCAAAAAACAACCAACCAAAAAAAAACCCCTCAGCTAGAATGTACTGTCCATTGCATAACTCCACGTGTGTATCTACATCCCAAAAATTGCACAACATGTTGATCACCACATCTGAAAAGTCTCGACTATTGCCAAAAAGATCCAGAAAAGGATGACAGTAAGGGGACAGACTAATACCTAGCTACACCTAGCTGAAAAAATGTCTGATAGGAGACACCGTGGAGTTCTAAAGCCTGAAGTGATTTTGAGTAGGTAAATAGCAAATTACTGTTTGCAGTTTCTCATAACTGATTGTTTACTGTACTTTAACTTACAGTTGCAGCTAACTTTGTCAATGGAGCAGCCAAATTAGGAGGTGAAGCACCGCCAAGAATAAGAAGATCAAAACCACTATAAGATACAAGCTAGTATCCGAAGACAACATTTGACAGACTGACTTAACTGACACAGCAGAGCTATTATTTGGATGTCTTATTATTTCAGTGGATACTCTCAGGTTAATTTTTTTTTTTCTCAATAACATCACATTTATGACAAGATCGTCTTTCCAATAGTCATCTGCTGGGGCTTAGCCTTACCTGACAATTAAGTACCATTCGGTTGCTCACTTACCTCCTACCCCAGCTCCCCTCCTCCCATCCACCCCCCTAGTGGAGAAAGGTCAGAGGAAAGAAGAACCAAGGAAAGCTTCTAAAAGTTGAGATAAGAACTATTTAATAATATAAATGAAAATGATAGTGATAGTAACAATACTACTACTACTAAGTAATTAAAACAGAAAATAGAATATATGATACAGTAGCTCACCACGTGCTGACCCACACACAGTCAGATCCCAAAAGCTGAAAACAATTCTGAGATTGAGGAGAAACTCTCACACACCCCTCCCAGCCCAGCGCGGGGTGGGGGGAAAAAAACCCCAACCCCCCAACCAACAAACAAAAGAACCTGCTTCTCCACAAACAACTGTGCCAAGAGCTCCCAAAAGGAGCTAACGACCCAGCTATCAGCCAGCCCAAACCCTTAACGATCCTCGGCCCCGGGGCAATTTTACACTTTCCAAAACTGCTCATGTGCACTCCCGGCCTGAGCACTCAGCCTGATGTGCCATGGAATGAGGCTGCTGTGGGCTGGCCAGCTCTGTGTGGGAGAGGAGCTCTTCCTGCCTGAAGCCAGCACACATCTCTTAAATTAACCATGAAAACAGATGAATCGGTTTGAACTTCTGGTTTTGTGATTGGACGTTATTATATTTCTGTGACACTTCAAAAGGTTGTCTAAATCCAAGTTATCTGACTTCTTTTTTATAAAATTAAAATTGTGTACCAAAAATCTTACCATGTCTGTCTGTTTTTCCCCTCTTTCCTCCTTAAAGATTTTGTCTTTATTCATCCTGCGTGGAGTAACAGGTATATCTGAAGTAGCCTGGTAAAAGAGCAAAAATGTTCTATACCTGATTTCTCTTTAAAAATTACAGATTTAGAGGGCAAATGCTTACAGAACATCGCTAAACATTCAGTATAAAGGTGAATATATTGTTTAGTAAAATGGCAAATTATGTGCCTTGGGAAAAATGCTAGACTGCCTGTTGGATTTTGCAGTGGATTGTACTGTCTCATATGGGGTAGGGGGAAGAAAAATAGCCAATTAATCTGTAGTATAATCTTAGCCCTTTAGAAATAAAAGACAAAACTTCCAAATATTTCTAACCAATATTTCATGCTTGCAATCACATGGACCAGGCATTTTTCCTCAATTGTTGGGTGGTTTGTTTTTTTTTTTTCCCCTTGTAATTTATAATGGACACATCTTCAACTTCTGCATCTACTTGGAATATGTTCACAGGAGATGCTCAAAAAATATTGCAATGACTTTTGCACCAAGCATAAACCCAAAGGCTCACTCTTTCTTAACCTGTAGACAATTATTTTAGTGTGACTCAAGGGGTTCCTGTATATGAAGGTAATAATTTGCTTCTCATCTGAACACTTTATCTGGATATGATTTTATTATTAATATGATTATATTATTAAAAGATTAATAGTATTTTTGTAAGTAAACATTATAGATCTGAGGCTGGTATCTCAATATTGGGTAAGTTTTGTTAACTCACTTTATTTGCTATAACTTTCTCCCTGTGCAAATAGATTGTAGGAATGTTACGTTAATTCATGTAAACTTACACATTTCTACTGAAAATGTTTAGCATGGGACTAGAATACATTTGCTAATGTTTTTAATAAACCTGTGAATGCTTTGTTTGAGAGAAGTATCGTCTTTTGGTCAGTTCAGGTGGGATTTGCTGAGCCTTCAAGTATTTCTCAACATGCTGCTCACAAGGCACCAAATTAATTGTGCCTTAATTGAGGTGTAACTCAGCTTATGAATTTACTGACCATGAGCAAGAGAGAAATGTTTACAAGCTAATATTGATGTAACAGTTCTTTGTTATGATTATGCCCTAAAATTGGTATGTTATATTGGTATATTTGTTACTCTTTCAGTGAAACCAGCAGTGTACTCCAGATTACATTGACTAATGCGTGACTCTGATTGCAACAAATATACTGGTTTGGTTTTAATTCCCCTTAAGATAGATATTTATTTCAGTTAATCAACTTCTCTGTTCTCTTCTGGTTAAACAATTAGCATTGAAATATGTTGGGTTTTAAGAATTATTACAAAAAATGAATTTACATAAATATAATCATTGTATAAGCTAAAAATATGGTTTAGTGAAAGGGTGCTGAAACTGTTATAAATTATTTTGCTGAAACACTACAATTTATTTTACATATTTTGTTTTACACTATGTTTTACATACGGATTTGTTGGTTGTTTAATGTATAATCAATAGTCCATAGCGAAAGAGCTGTGTTTTCAGTGTATATAAGGTTCTGATTATTCACTTGATATTGCTGAAGAAAACTTTATACATTAAAAAAAAAAATGTTCTGTAATGATGTATTTCTGGTGTATCTATTGATTCTAAATTTTTTAAATTTCCTTTGTTGCCATTAAATGGTCTGTTTTATTATTATGCTAAACCAGTTGCTGTTGATAGTCTGGTCAGTTAGGCAGATGAGCCTCACAAACTGCATTGCTAGTCTAGGAAGAAGGTATGGATGTACTTCGGGTTTGGAATAGGTGGAATGGAAAGCAATCTAAGCTAGTGTAAAACGAGTGCTTGTTAATCATAGTGGGATTTTTTTCTAAGAAGAGAACAATTAAATGGGCTGAAGAGAGGTTTCTTTTGCACTAATGATCCAAATAAAAATTGAGTTTTGGGAAGATTGAAGAGACAGACTGGTTACGTAGAGAGATGCCCATGTGGAAAAGAAAATGAGTTTAGAAGTGTGATAGATGATGGAAAATAATGACTGACTGGGTTATTGTCACAATAAAAATGAAGGGCAGTATCCAAAAAGTGAGCTATGGGTCATGTTTCCCTAAGTCTGTGCTTCCGTTGGCCTTCTAGACTGAAAAAATGTTGGGATCAGAATGGATTTAGTTAGTACGTTACAGAAGTTCAGCTTAAAGTCAAGTATGTCTCTTGTGTACACCTTTGGCCAAATTTTTAATACATTTTGGTTTCTAAGGACTGCTTTAAAAGGAATATGCACCAGCAGGTGGAGCAAATAGATAAAAATATTAACTGTTCTACAGCTACATTTACCATGATCAGCTTTTTAAGACGAGTGCAAAAATTTGGGGGGGGTCTTATTAATTTGTGTAGAGCAACACATATCGATGATAAATGAAAACACTTTATCACTGTATCCTTCATTTTTTTAATATAAAGTCAGAGCTAACTTTGAAGTTATCTGTTTGTAATTGCCATAAAAGAAACCAAAGGCTTAAAGGGGGAAAACGAAGATACATAATATTTGTACTCTGTTGACCCTTTGTCTTGTATGAGTCTTGAGTCTAAGGAGTCATAGTTGCAATGTAAGTATAAGTTAAAGACCTTATGGCCAAAACGGAAGAAATATTAATAACATGCAGTTTGCCTAAATGGAAAAGTACATAACTAATCTCCAGTGTTATCACTGCCTCTTATTAACCTATTCCTCCTGGCAGATCTCCTTTGGTTTTGCCCTGATAAATCATAGAGTGCTCTGTTACAGTTCATAGTGGGAGAACAACCTGCAGAAAAACATTACCTGGGATGGAAGAAGTGGAATCATTAAACATCAGACCTCACGCTTCCAGTAAATGCAACAGGACCTCATCCCTTCTAAGGTACTGTTAACAACATGAACCCTTTTTTTTCTGTTGTGATAACATGACAGGGAATCTGTCCCCCCCAGTTGGTTAAATTTGAGTTCTAGAACTGCAAAGTTCTTGTGTAGTATAGATGCACAGTAAAATCTAAGGTGGAGCTTGTTTTGTACTGCCTATTCAAGAGGTAGCTGGAGGCTGATGTTGTACCAGTAACTTGCTCACAGGTGCCCAACACTAGTTTGATGTATTTTTTCATATGAGAATTACTGGAAGGTGTACACGTTGGCTTTATTTTTCTATCCATCTTGAATACTAATTGTTGCTGTGGTCCTGTAATGAGCACTGTGTGAATAGTTTGACAGGACTTCAGTCCATGCATTTTCATTTTTTCACACTTAATAAATTAAAAAAATATAATAATTTTTATAGGGCTGCCTTCTAAGTACCTGAAACTGCGATATACCATGTTTTCCACACACCCCATTTCAGTCTGCCAAGTTTTACATACTTGTTCTAAAAACGTTCATGAAAAGTAGTATTTATGCAGGCAAACTGGCATGGGAAGGTTATATTCTGCAGGTCCCTGATCCCTCGCATCCTTGCCTTGCTGTTTTTACAGACGGCACACGCGAACCGCTATTCCAAGTGAGTTTGAAAACCATCTTTGGTACGTACCTGAAGTGGAGAGTAACTGCAGCTATTTATGTATGGTTTTTTAACTTCTATCCCAACCTGATTGGAGGGAATGTCTAATAAAACACAACTGAAACAGAAAAGAGGCTGTTTGGTGTAGCAGATGCCCCACAGGCATTATTTAGCTGTAACTGTCACCACAGTGCTGTGCGCGCTGCGTGCAGGGCTGATACCTTGCTGTATTTTAACCCTTCGTGCCCATAAAATGCTCTGTTAAATACTGCATTGCTGTGGCTCCGTGTGCATCGATACCGGGCCCGCTGAGTGCCAGCCTCGCCTTTACCGGCGTGGCGGGGGTTCTGACACGGGGAGCTTCCCATGTAACCGCTTCCTCCAGCCGGTTGGGGCTGCCCGGCTGGGGATGGCGCTGGAAGGCAGCGGCCATGGCGAGCAGCCGGCGCCGGCTGCGCCCGGC